GGCACAGGAACACATCGGACTGGGGCACAGAGGAGGTGCCCCAGATGTGGTTGGTATCTGGGACGTGGAGCTGAGAAGAGCCCCAAGGGCAGAGTGTAGAGAGGAAGGAGAGGCAGAGAAGGCAGAATGGCAGGAAAACGACAGTAGTGGGGTCAGCCAGTGATGCGGTGGTTAAAGCCACTGGTCCCCACACAGCTGATTGTGCAGTTCAAGTCCCGGACCTGGCATCTTGAAAAACATGCCAGGTGTGTGTGCATGCATGCCCAAAATCCCAAGACGAGAAAGGAGTTGAAGTTTTGGGGGATGGCCGTCCCCTCCCCCCCAGGGTGGTGGTGACTTCTCACTGTCCCTATCTGTCTCATGTCCTGCTCTTGCGAACACATGTGCTCTATGACCAAAAAAAAAAAAAAAAAAAAAAAAAAAAAGAGAAGAGAGAAGTGGAAGTACGGGAAGAATTTCAGAGGAGGCAAGGGGGAGAGGTTTGTGCTGACAGGGACAATCAGGCACTGAGGTCACTGGTGACCTTTGCAAGAACTCTTGTGGAAAATTGCAGGGGTAGAAACACCAGCAAAGCTTTAAGGAGTGCGTGCACTAGAAGGCAGCATGGCAGGGGACAGCGCCATTTCTAGGACTTCAGGGCAGTGGAGAGAAATAGGGCGACAGTGCGAGGTGTGGAGCAGGGATGGGAGCTTTTATGAGGTGACGGAACACCGGGTGTGCTGTGGAACTAGGTGAAGAGAGGGTCACCAGGACACATGTCAGCTGTGCTGGGGCGACCACAGGGTAGTGTAAATGCAGTGTGAGACCCACTCACAAACACAGATACCGCACACCCTGCCCAGAATTCACACTTTGCCTCCCCTGACCCCAGCACCTCTCTGCCATCTCTCTGTTTACCTCTGGGTCTTGAGTCATCCCCTAGAAGGGGGACTCAAGGGTGGCAGCAAGTGTCACAGCAGCACAGAGACAGACATAGCTGCCCCTGAGGGGTTGAGGGGAAAGGATGGCATCCTCAGGTCATGAAGGATGGCACAGGTATCCCCAGGAGAGGAGTCAGGGGACTGTCCCCCCGCAGAGAAGGTCCTGCAGCATCACATGGCAGGACTGCTCATGGAGTCAACTGGCAGAGTCCGAGTGCGCGTGAGCTCAGGCCCACTCTCGGGAGGTAGAGCCCAGCAAGCCTTCTGTCCACACCTGCTCAGTAAACCTCCAACTCTGACCCTTGCCATCGCCCTCTTTGTAAAAGAAAGCCCGGTACACCGAGGCAGCTCTGTTTCAGAGGTAGATTCTTTTCTACTCTTATTTTGCTTAGGGTTTTGGGGAGAGGCTAGCTTTTGGCCTCATTTTCTTTACTGTCACATGGGGACATTCATTCCTGAGCATGAATGTCATCTTTTCCAAACACAGTGCAGTTGGCTCTCCATAGCTGCAGATTCTGCACGGAGGTTTCAACCAACCTCAGACTGAAAATACTTAATAAAATAAAAACATAAAAGATCATACAAATACAAAACTATATAGTATAACAATGATTTATGTAGCATTTACACTGCATTAGGTACTACAAGTCATTTGGAGATGATTTAAAGTATACAGAAGGATGTACGTAGATTATATGCAAACACTACACCATCTTATGTAAGGGACTTGAGCATCTATAGATTTAGATTTTGGTATTCTTAAAGGTCCTGAAACCAACATACTGTCTATGGAAATGCAAAAAAAATAAATAAATAAAAATAAAAAAGTAGGATTGAGGAAAGTCTGGACCTCTTCCCTCTGTGCCTTTTCTGACTTTCTGTCCTCTTCCCTCCTACCTACCACCCACAAATTACACATCCTTCTCCAGGGCCTTTCGTTCTTTTTTTTTTTTTTTTTTTTTTTTTTTCTTTCTCTTTGTTTTTTTTTTTTTTTTTTTTTTTTTTGCCTATTTCATTTGCCATGTGGTAAGAATCAACAACCTTGGTCTGCAGAGGAGGAAGCATGCAGCCATGCAGGTCACAGCTGCAGAGCTGGTCCACAGTGGAAGCAGAGCTTGCACAGGCCCTGGCCTGCAGGGCCGGTGTTCTTCGCCCCACAGGCTCTGAAGCTTCCCCTTTCTAAGTGGAGCCTGGCTCCTAGCTAGGCTGTGGCAATGTGACGACATCTTTGGAATCTCAACGTTCAGGAACTTTTCGTAAGACCCTGGAAGAACCAGCAAGTCATTCTGGGTGTCTTGGCCTGCCCCATGGGAGAGAATGAAACTCAGAAAACATCCAAGCAGCAGGAAAAAGGTAACATTGTCTCACCTCTACACATCAGATCTTGCTAGTTCATCTATTGGCTGAATTCACATCCAGACCCCTAGCTGCAAGGGAGTCCGAGAAGTGTCTTTAAATGTTCTGGTCCTTGCAGTACAGGTACAGGAAGAAGTGCAGGTGGATGGTGAGTGCCCAACCACCATACTCACCACGTTTGGGGGAAACTATTGGACACTTACCATAAATATCTCAATGGGCTCTGACCTAACATTTATTAAAAATTAAAAAAAAAATTGAGACCAGCAGTTAGCGAAATGGCTATGTCGCTGGACTCCCACATAGTCGACCGCAGTTCGAGTCCTGGACCTGGAGGCTTAAACTCACGCCAGGCGCATGTGCATGCGTGCCCAAGATCCCGAGAGGAGAATGGAGAAGGGATTGTGGCGTGGCCATCTCCCCTGGGGGGTGATTTCTCACTTTCTGTCTCTCTGTCTCTCTCTGTCTTTCTGGTGAGCGCACGCGCCCTATAGCAAAAACCTCTAGAAAAAAAATTAAAAAGAATTTATGTCTCTGAATATTATGGGCATATTCACATTAGCCAAGAATCCTTTTAATCATACAAAAGTTAACTTCTTTCATGATTCATTATTTTTATTTTAAATTATAGAAATAATATAAATATTAAAATCTGAAAAATAGGGACCAGTAGATGATATAATGGTTACATCGCTGATTCCCATGTAGTCAATTCTGGTTCAAGTCCTGGACCCAGCAGCTTAAACTCACACCGGGCGTGTATGCCTAAAATCCTGAGAGGAGAATGGAAGAGTGGCCAACACCCTTAGGGTGTGATTTCTCACTGTCTCTGGTGCCACATGCACCCTATAGCAAAAATCTCTTTTAAAAAAAATCCGAAAAATAAAGAGTCAAAATAGTTGCCTGTTACTCTGTCACTATTGCAATAACCACTTCATTCTTTTCCTGTGCATATTTACATATTTGTGAATGTAACAGTTTGGTTTTGCTTTCACTTAACATTATAGTCACTTCCCAGGTTTTCCACAATGTAACTACTTTTTTAATGGATACATAGTATTTCATAGTATGTGCATCATACATTACTTGGTCCTTCCCTCCTGGTGGAATGATTAGGGTGTTTGCATTTATTTGCTGCTGTAAATAGTGCTCTGGAGAGGAGTTTCAGGCGTATTCAGCTTTTTGTGTTGTACTCTCAGAAGTGGGACATGGGTTCCTATGCATGGGTTAAAGGGTATCCCTTTTTATTTATCAATGGCTTATGAGCCACATTTCTTGAAAATCACTTTTGATGAACATAAAGGAATTTTTTTTCCAAGAGGAAACACAGAGCTTGGTCCTACCTTTGCCATCTTTAGTACTCATCTTGGGAGCTGCTATCAGCAGCTACCAAAAATGGGGAAATGCTGCCCTCGTGGCCGCTGTTCATCTCTGTTAATGCTCACATGGCTGTAACCCAGATCCCAACCAGCTGCCTCAAACGTGTGACCTGAACCTTACAACCAGAGCGAGCATGAAGAGCAGATGCCTCATCTTCAGGGTCTCCTCCACCCTTTCATATCTCAAGGCCCAGCTTTCCTGGCCAGAGTCTTGTCTGGATAAGAGAGAGGCCCTGGTGCCAGAAGTTGCCTTTAGCCCTAGAACACACACATTGAGATGGAGACTTCCATGAGCAGACAGGCCTTCTCTCCACTTGTTGATTTGTCCACCTTCCCCCAGGTGGAGCAAGGCAATATTATTTAAGTTTAAATAAAGCTGCCTGGGTTCCAATTTATTACAGAAGCCAGCTGGAGATGACTTCAAGAACTAGAAGACCAGAGTCTTACACAAGGACCTCTAAAAACCTTCTGGGCATATCAAACCCAAAGAAAATCTGGGTTAGAGGTGTCCACTCAGAGGGCTCCATCTTGGTTACATATGGTCTTGGTCAAGGCAGGGTAGGGTATAGTTGGCCTCTTTATGAGAACAAGGAAAGAAACAAGTTGAACTGTGTATTATGTGCATTCGGGGAGTGAAACAATTTCAAATACTTTGTCTCCAATACAGTATCCAGAATGGGATCTTGATCTTTAATCCTGCTTCCTTCATGGTACATGCCCCTGTGCTCTGCAAGGGCTGTACCCCCGACAAAGGGGTGTGCTTTCAATTCTAGAACCTCGCTCCTCCACGCTCCCCCGCCCGTCATCCAACCACCTTAGCTGCTGTACCACTGACAATCTCAAGGACTCCTCCCTGTCCCCCTGCCCATTCAGGCCTTAGGAATGCCAGAGCTCATTGGGCGACACTAAGTGCAAAGTCACCGACCCCGGGGGCGGTTTGCCCTGAGGCGCTGCTACACCTCTCCCTCCAGCTCTGCGCACACCTCCCCAGTGGCCTGGCGGACCATCCCCAGTGACCACCTCGCTGCCAGCCCGTAGCCGACCGGCACCATCCTCCAGGTAATACAACTTCCCGGGACTCCCCAATGTCTCCTCTCGCCCCCGTCCGGTTGCTTGGAAATTTGCACTGGACAGTGACGTCACACAGGGAGGCGGGCGCTTGCTGTCCCACACACCAATGGCGCAGCTGCGGCCGGCCTCTTCTTTTCCAGTGATTGGTGTCTCGCCCACCCCCCCCACCCCGCTCCACCCCTGCCCGCCATGGCGTCAGGCGCCGCAGCCCCGGGGAGGTGTTCCCACTTTAAGAAGTGCAGGTTTTGCCCCCTCCCCCTC